TCTTAATTATTATATGTCTGGGTGTTGTTTTAATTGGGTTGATGTTATCCAGAGTTCTATATGCTCCAGTTACCTAAATGTCAGTTTGTTTTCCCATACCTGGGAAGATTTTTGCTATTATGTCTGCCCATATTCTTCTTATATAATTTGTATTGACTCCTTGTTTCTCATTGATGCCTATTAGTCTTATGTTGTTCATCTTTGATTCATCTTGCAGATGTTGAATTATTTTTTCATGCAACCTAGTTGTTTTTAAGCGATCTTTTGTCACCTTTTCACTAGCTGCAATGGTGTCTTCAAGGTCTGAAAGTCTATCTTCACTTTAATTCAAATGGCTTTGCCGGCTTGTGTTTGAGATTTTAATTTCCTGTATATGATTTTGAATCTGCTTCATGCATTCCATTTCTTTCCTATATTGCCCATTTAAGGATTCCATCATTTTTCTATTCTGTTTTTTTTCATCAGTGTCTTCTTTAGAAGCACATAGTAATTCTTTCATTATAGTTATCATTTCTTTTTTTTTTTTACTTTAGAAAATTATTTCTGATTTCCTTTACACCTTTCTGCAATTGTTTCTTTACTTCAAACGCTATTATTCCAGAGATTTCAGGAGTGTGATTTCCAATTTCTTCTATGCTATTGTGTCCTACATTTGTTCTCGGTGGGCTCAGGGCCTGAGACTGCATTTTGCTCCTTCTCTTTATCATTTTGTATAGCACTGTCTTCTGACCTTTAGTGCAGCTTTGGTGCAGTTATTACTTTAGCACCAGGTCTGTATCTATCAAGTTCAAACTCGTCCAGGTGGGTGTGGCTTGGGTCTGGCTGCTGTGCTCCACTTCTTCCTGCTGAAGCCTTTGGAAGTCAACCTGCTGTGCCACTCTGGCAAGATGTTCTGCTCCTGGATCAGCTGGGTGGGTCTTGCCTCTAGTCTTTCTGTAGAGAGTTCAGCCGCAGGGTTCCACAACAGGCCTGTCTGATGGAGGAAATTCCACTCACATACGGGGTCTAGGCATTTGCTCGAATGAGGATCCAGTGGGCCCCAGGCATCCTCACTCACAAGATGGATGAGATTTTTTTAAAGCACATAAGATTTTTTAAAGCACTAGTTAATACATCTTCATTAAGTAATAACATATATAACAAATGATTAAAATTTTACTTTTCACCCAAGAAATCCATAAAAGAAAAAAAAAAATAAGGAATTCCATAGTCAGAAGTCCAGGGCTAGGAAAAATCAATGCTTTGGGGCTGGAGAGATGGCTCAGTGGTCTAAAGCACCTACTTGAAACAACCTTGGCAAAGCACAGGGACTGCGGTTCGATCCCCCAGCACCACATGCCAGCCAGCCCCGCCCCCTGGTGGGCTGAGCTGGCCACACACACACACAAT